CCTTTAGTAGTCCAGCAGGGCCTCTTGCTCACATAAATACATTTTGTGTTGTTTTTTCTATCCCTTCAAAACGTAGAAATATATGGAAATGTAGTATTGATGGGTATTCACAGGTGTCTCTTCTAAATTTTATTGAACAGCCTTTTAAAATCTAAGCTGGATTGTATTAATGAAAATTTTTAAAAATCTTTTTATATACAGAGTTTTCCATCTGATGAGGGTTGGCCATTCGCAAAGTACTTAGGAGCATGCGGAAGAATGGTGGCTGTCAATTACGTTGGAGAAGAGCTGTGGAGTTACTTTAATGCACCATGGGAGAAGCGAGTGGATCTGGCCTGGCAATTAATGGAAATAGCTGAGCAGCTGACAAATAATGACTTTGAATTTGCACTCTACCTCCTTGATGTCAGCTTTGACAACTTTGCAGTTGGACCGAGAGATGGGAAAGTTATCATTGTAGATGCAGAAAACGTTCTGGTAGCAGACAAAAGGTTAATCAGACAGAGTAAGTGTCACCTTTCTCTCCCCTCCTCTCACCCCATATCTTTTGCTTCTTTCTCTGTAAGTGTAGTTGCTAAATACCCATTTTGTTGGCTTTATAACTAGACTACTAATTAACAAACTAATTAGCTTGCCTCTGCAATTAGACTACTAATTAACTTGACCAATTTGTCAATTTTACAAAGCATTGAGCTTACCTGAAACTTGATTTGAATATACTTTTAATCTCTGTAATCCTGTTTAAATGGAAAGGTGGGGGTGGGAGAAGAGGGTTTGGACGTTGGACAGGTTTGCACACATGGATGGACAGATAGACAGATGGGCTGGCTGACTGACTTGTCTGCCTTAGCTAAAAGAGAGAGGTTCCTTTTGTCTTTTCCAGACGTCTGTAAGGATGGAAGTCTTGGCATTTTATTTTCTGTGAATGATAAGACAGGCTTACTGCTCATTTTGCTTTAGTTACATAGCCTGCCTCTGGTTCAGTTGTTCAGGTTGGTGCTCTTTAATACTGGAACTGAAGGTATGGCTAATTTTAGTGCTTTTTCCAAATGGGAATAGTGAAAATTTGTTCATCTTTCTGTCAACTGTAAAAGCTCAAAGCAGTAGCAGCAGGAGAGATGTTTGACAGTGGCATTACATGGGTTTATAGTCCTTTTGAGCTTATAAGGAAAACTTTACAGATCGAAGGGCTAGAGACATTGAATATGAAACCCTAGATTCTGCAGAAGTTCATGGCAATAGGCCAAGTGATTCCAGTTTGCTTCGGGTGAATGGATTTTTTTTTTTTTTTTTTTTTAAGCTTTGCAAATAGACTTCATGTGCTGTGCTGCTGAATTAACTTTAAGACTACTTTTTCTATCCACACACTTTTCTACAAGGAAGTATGTTTTTATTTTTATTTTTTTTTGGTGGTGTGGTCTTTTGTTTTGTTTCGGTTTTTTTGTATTAGATTTATTATATGTTCTGAAGGATCTTAGATTAAAATTATCTGAGCCTACCAAGAAAACCTTTTAATGTATTGGGTGTCCAGTACATTTTCTTTAGTACTTAGGGGCCAGACAAACAAACTTTCTTTTTCTTTTTTTTCTTTTTTCTTTTTCTTCTTTTTCCACTGTCTTAAAATTTTTCTTAAGACGTTGACTTTTGGAGCAATTCAATGTCTGAATTGCTCAGTCAGAGATGACCAGATGAACTCTGGAAAAGTTGATGTGTACATGGAATAGGAGCAAGTAGCCTCATGCAGAAGCTGAATGCAGAAAGTGCCACGCTTACATCTGTTGTCTATAGTTCTCAGGCTAAGTTGGATCTAACTAGGATATTGCTGCATGATTTGTAATCTAACTATTAATCAAGAACAGAAAACAAATGAGGGCACAAGAGAATTCTCAGTCTTTGTATAAACTTGACATTTAATAGTGATTTCATTAATCTTCTGGAAAGTTTCATTAAACAATGTCTAGAGTGATTAATATGCCTGTTTAGATATTTGAATATGTACATTCTGTCCAATTGCGCTGTACAGTAAGAGCTAATTGTACTCTGTGTGGAATATCATATTTGAGTTTGCTGAAGTCCTTTTTATCGTTCTTCTTTGTTGCTGGCTTTTTTTCCATTTTGAGTTAGCTGTTCATTGTACAAATTTTACATCATATTTTTATAGTTTTAGCAGTCATCCTTCGATACGCTTTTTTTGCTAGACTGGCTTGCAGCGCACCATAAATGAGTAGACCGATAGTCAGCTCAGAGACTGCCAAATGCAGATAGATTTTTCTTTGTACATCACAGTGCTAGAAGAGATCTGTGAAACTATGAGGCTCCATGATAAGGACCTCTTCTCAAAGCTGGCAGTAATCTACAAATTTAAGATGAAATTTTTCTAACAAAAAGTAGTAAGAACTCAGGAGATCTCACACTTAGTAACCTTTTACGTATTATTATTGTATAAGGTATTTTCTGTAAATCAGGTTTTAACTTAAAATTTTGTGACAAGGCCACTAGTTACACCTTCAAATTTTGATAACTTTTAAAATATATATAAAGAAGGGTTTATACATGTATGTAAATGCCATTGGTTTTGTTGAATTTCTTCTTTCTTCGAAGATTACATATAATGCATTTGCTTTTTTATATGCACTTCTTAGTTACTAAAGTAGGAGGTTGGAAGATAACGTGTCAGAAGTTTATGGCAATTACATTGCAATGGATTTTTTTGTTCTTTGGTAGACCACTTGCCACTATTAGTTCTCAGGGCAACTGGAGGAACCAAATCTATGTTGCTAAAATAAATCATGTTGCTTGTTTGTTTTTCTCTCAACTTCAGCTGTGGATCATTCTCTTGTACTAGTTTGTGCTACACTTTTTCCTCTGGGTATGTGTGTGAATGTAGATTTCATGTGTTTAGAGGGCTGTTTTTTTCTGCTTCCCTCTCCTTGCTATCTATTTTACCCTCTTTCTTTATTTCCGTTGTTTTTTGTATTGCCAGGACCATTTCAGCAGAAGGGTATATCAAACTGTCAGATGCAATCTTAGACTAGAACATTGAAGGGTTCATCTAAACAAAGTTGGTTTATAGTTTAAATATTACCAGTTTCCTGTGTATTGAGCTTCTGATTGTATTCAGACACACATATGCTCTTTTCTTCTCTCTCTCACTTTTTTTTTTTTCCTGTCTCCTTATATTTCACAGATAAACCTGAAAACTGGGATGTATGGTATGAAAGCAAATTTGATGACTGTGATAAAGAAGCTTGTCTGTCCTTCTCGAAAGAAATTCTTTGTGCTCGTGTCACTGTGGACCACAATTACTATGCTATTTGTCAGAACCTTTTATCAAGACATGCCACATGGCGTGGCACTTCTGGAGGACTACTTCATGACCCCCCAGCTGAAATTGCCAAAGACGGCCGACTTGAGGCCTTGCTGGATGAGTGTGCCAATCCAAAGAAGCGATATGGTAGATTCCAAGCTGCAAAAGAACTGCGTGAATACCTTGCACAATTAAGTAACAATGTGAGGTAGTCCACAGTGAAAATTTTTTGCAACGCTGGTTAAAACACTATTGCAAAGACACATAGAAAATGAAGTTTTGAACTTATGTATTAAAAAGAGAAAAAAAAACCCAAGTAAACACCTAGTTTATCAGTTTTCTGAATACCATAAAAATACAATTTTATGGTGTTATAATGTTCCTTTGCAAACAGACAAGGTACTTATTGAATTAAAACTTGAGCTACTATTGACTCTGCTCCCTAACTATCTAACAGGGAGTAGGTCAAAAAAGACTGTGATAGCTTAATTGACAGCGTGTGTGTCAAAGGGTACTTTACGTAAAACTGCATTAGTGTCACAGTTTTGTGAAGCTGATGTTCTTACTTGGAAAGTCAAGTTAGACTGATGGCCTGTTTTAAAGGCCTTTTTCCTGACATCATTGTCTCATTTTTGTGTTTGTTTAAACACCTTGAAGTGGCATTTACATCCAGGTAAATCTAGCTGTCTGCATTGTTTCAAATTTAACGAGCTTTCATGTTAATGCTGTGCAGTACATTCCTACTGTGAGTGTAGGATTCCCATGTTTACTGTCTAATTTTAGGGGGTTTTACACTGTATTTTACTATGCTTAGACTGTGTATTTTTTTTTTTAAGATCATCATAAACTCAACTGTCATTTGAACTAACATTCATTTGATGTCTTTTGTAGTTCTGCCATTGGAAATATCACTTAATGTAATTATTGTACAAAACTTTGACTCTTGATGCCAGTATATACACATGACTGTTTAGCAAGAAATCACGGTATGAGCAAACTCTTATTTTTAACAGAGATAATTTGAGAATTGGAGAGAGACTACAATAAAAAGATCTGTATTAATTTAAATTGGGGATAGAAATAAAAATTTACTAGTCCAGTGTAGTTAAGCATAAACCAAAGAAGATGGTTTTGTTTATTAGTTTCTAAACAAATAGTAAAGAAAAATCGCTATACTGTAGTTAAGCTAATAATACTCAAAATTCAAATTTCAGTGGTCCTTGGTTACTCTTTGAAGAACTTCTAAAACTATGTGCTTATGCTAGAAGAAAACCCTACTTTGAGAATAATGTCTAGAAAGTTAGAGGTTTGTTTTACATCATTCCCAATTCTGCTGAATTCAAGTGTAATGGAGTTTACTGAATATTCATCTTCTGGTTCACCAGCTGAATTGATTAAGCTGTATTTACTCTAGACACCTTTTCTTGAACTAAGTTTGACTGTTCCCAGTGCAGTTAAAATTGACTTGTTGAGGTTTGTGTAAATCTGGAGTTGTTCTCATGAATTACAGTTTTTATAAAAACCTCAGTTACTGCTACAAGAACTCACTTCAAAGCTTGCCTTTTTTTTTTTTTTTTCCAACTACTATAATGCTTCATTTTCCTGAAGTCTTATTCATAAAAAGATACTCTTAGGAAATGTATGTGTATTACTTCTTATAACAGTAATGAAGGAAACTAATATTTCTTCAATGCGTGTATAAAACAATATTTTGCGCAAGGTAAAAAGAATTTCAAGCAAGGTAGTATGTGCTACTTTCAAAAGCAAGGTTAGTATGCCTCTTGTATTGCATCGAAAGACTGATGGAAACTGTTGCTTTACCAAATTGCTGCAAGTGCAAGGTGAGGAAAATGGCAAACACTGACCGGCCCTTCTTTCTCAAAGCTCAAAAAGTGGAGCCATATAAAGATGCAGATTGCTTTTGGATTTCTTAGATGACTATATTAAGGATATGTTAGAATTTGAAATTTTCACTTTAAGTCATCTGGCCTATGTAATCCTAATTTGCTCCCAGTCCCTTTTTTTTCTGAAGTTAGAATGCCCAATGCAGCTTTTAATTTTCATTTCTCCCCTCCCCTCATTTGAAAACAGTTTTACATGCTTGCTCCGGCACAAGCTGTCAGAGAAGGTTCAGGTTATTTTTCATCATAAAATCCACTTATTTGAAGAAAATAGACTAACCCTCAGACTAGGTAATACTACCCTACCATAAAAGCCTTGACTTATCACTAAAGTTGATTTTTAAACATGTACCACATTTCCCAATGAGTGTGTGGAGTATGATTGTTAAAGTTGTAAAAGAAACAAACACTGCCAGTTCTGGTTACTACTTGAGGCAGTTCGGTAACTGTCAGAATGTCCTCTCAGATTGGGTTTGGAGTTTAGTTCCCTCAGAAATAAGTTACTAAAGCCGATTATAACAGGAATTTGGAACTTTAAAAAAAAACAAAACACTACAGGGAAAACATTGTGGAGAGCAATAAATCTTGTTCCGTTTGCACCTCTCAGATATTTATTGTACAATAACAATTTATATTTTTAGTCATTGCCCATTATTATTGATGAACACGGTGAAATATTTTTGAATGAGATGTTTGGGGTTTGTATGTGCATTACAATTGTCCTTTTGTACTGTAAGTTACTGTTTGATTGGAATATTTTATCAAAACTGTCTCCCTGTGCCTTTATATTACAAGAAAGTTGTTTCTGCAACTTCTAATGATATTAATAAAGAATACTTTAAGAACCTCATCTCAGATATTCATTTTCAGATCAGTCTTTTAAGATTGACTTAGTCTAGGATGCATTAAAAAATACACAGAACTAGTTTTTGTAGTGTTGCAGAATGCACCATCGTCAAAAGTGACAGGAACTTTTTTCCCCCTCCTTCTTTCTAGTAGACTGTTTGATCCAACATATGAATGATCTGTCAGGAATCTTTTTGTTCTGGAGATTATCATATGTAGGACTCACTTTCTTAAAAGCAACTTGATCAAGCTATACCTTTCTGTTCTATTAACCAAAAGAAAATATTTTCAAAATAAGCAAGTTGATACCTTCTCTCTTTCTCAAACAATAAACTTACTTTTCCTTGTATATAGAATCATAGAATCATAGAATCATAGAATCATTATGGTTGGAAGAGACCTAAAAGATCATCAAGTCCAACCGTACACCTGATGCCACCCTGTCCACTAAACCATGTCTTGAAGTGCCACATCTAGACGTTTTTTGAACGTCTCCAGGGACGATGACTCCACCACCTCCCTGGGGAGCCTGTTCCAATGCCTAACGACTCTAACAGTGAAGAAGTTCTTTCTAATGTCCAGCCTGAGTCATTTGTATTGTTAATACTACTGTGTCTTCAGTACACCGTTCTAGCAGTTAAAGTAATATAAATACATAATGACTTTTGATGTTTCTCCTTTACTCTGGGTTTTTCTGTGAGCATTTGCATTTGAAACTAAGTCCTCCAGTTATACTAGAGCATATATTCCCTTCTGACTTTCTGAGCCTGTGTAATAGGAGCAACTTGTCTCAAAAACACTTGGATTTTTATTATTTTTATTTTTTTTAGTTGCACTCCTGCTGCCTCAACTTGCATCTCCAGGAACTGCAAACATGCAGACTGAAACTTGTAAACTTTCCAGTGTGCCTCAGATGTCAAGATCATTATGATCTTAAGAAGAAACTAGTATGAATATCTGCCGCATCTTTTCTTTCAACAGTTTCTGCAGTATAGCATAGTCTGATCCTGGTTGCCTTGAACTTGAAAACGTGGTGCATCTGATACTTTCTTACCAGGTACTTTATAATTGTGAGATACTCTCTTACGAGACCTCTCAAATATGTTAAACTTTGTATGCTACTCTTGATTCACCACAAAGACTGGGTTAAATGTGATTTTCTTTACATTTATCAGAGTGGAGACCTTGGCTACCTTTAAAAGGCACGAAAATGTTTTGGTTCCCTATAGTCAAATGTTTTTGTAGAAACCAGCACTGGTGCTTTCATGGATTCCTGTTTTTCCATATGACGTGTCTGAATTCAGTACTAACTTCTAAGCTGTTTTGCTAGTTATCTATGTTGTTTGAAGCCTGTGATTTGGAGATCAGGATAGACTGGACTGCGAAACCTCTGTAAAATGCATGTCTAGTGAGTATCAGAGAAATGTTCTGTTAGGGAAGTGTATGTCTCAGTTTGAAGATTTGGTGTGCAGACTGCCTAAACTGCTTTTTAAACAAAGTTCCTCTTTATCTTGCAGTCTTCCCAAGCCTTTAAAAATCCAGTCCATCAAATGGAAACTTCATTAATGTTGATTTCACCTGCTTTTTTTAGTTGAACTTGCAATACACAGATCTGCTAATGTATTTGATAGCCTTCATCTGACTAATTCACTCATCATTACCATCACTGTTATTTCTGCTTTAAATCTCTGCCAGTTTTTTGTGTTCTGTTTCCTTACTTTCAGATCATGTTCAAAGATGTACAACTAGTTTAAGTACACCTTTATCTCCTTTTAGTTTCATTTTACGATGTTTTAAAGAAATTTTTCCTATGCTGATTTGTCTTTTTTTTTAATGTGCCTTTCCAGATCTGACGTGTCGGTTTGCCTGGGGTACTTCTAAGCATCACATTCTTTTTATATTTCATACTGAGTTTTATGAGCACATTTCACTATTCTTCCAAGCAAAAGTCTTTGGTAGTCTGACTGTACTGTACACTACACTAATGAGATTTTGCCAGATGCAGAAAGGCCCTGTGGCTGCTAGATGTCTTTGTAGAGTGTGCATGTGATGTTAGGACAACGAAGAGTCTGTTGTTTTGGCAGCACATGAGTCTGTTGTTGCTCCGCTGGAAGTATGAGAATATACTTGTTTTGTGTGGTTCAAAAGCTAGACAAATTTCAGGAATATTAGTAATGAACGTTTGCCATGAATACTCACTTGCATGTTCAGGTCAGAGCAGGCAAGTTCTGACTTTAAAAGAAAAAGTATGTAAGACTGTTTTTTATATTTGGTGGGTTAACTCCAGTCTTCTGAGAACAGAAATGTCAAAGCAGAATATACTTCAAAGCAAAATAGACTGCTTAATATATAGCTTGTGTTCAGATAGAAAGAAGAACATTTTTTGGGGGGAGGGTCAGGGTTTCAAATAGCTTGTCTATTAGTCAAACAATTTAATACACATCTTTCTACTCTGAACATGATGCTTTTGTTTATGC